AGAGGGGTTGGGCGGGGCTGCCCCGGGAAATGAAAGGGTAAAGACTTGAGTGCAGGAAGGCCAGGCACCAAATTGTTGACTTGAAAGAGAAAATTAGATAAAGGCGGAGGAAGGGTGGCGAGAGTTGGCCTGATGTTTTTGTTTTTGTTTGGGTGGTGGTGTTCTGGTGGATTGGTGAAAACAGATGAGAGAGAGAGAGAGAGAGAGAGAGAGAGAGAGAGAGAGAGAGAGAGAGAGAGAGAGAGAGAGAGAGAGAGAGAAAGACTAATAAATTGATTGTAAAACGTCAATGTTTTACGTTCAAAGCCATATGTCGCCATATACGTTTTCTTGTTATTATCTCATATTGCTATTGGTCAAGGAAAGTTTCATTTTGCTTTGCAGTTGATATCAAATATATACATATATATATATATACTTATATGTATGTATAGATAGTTAGATAGATATAATATACATGATAATATGTTTTAATGTAGATGTTTTTACGGCCCCATCGACACAATTTAGATAATTTAGGAAGCGAGGTCCGACCCTGCCGGACGGGTGTAACCCGGTCTGAGAGGATACATCACCCAAGCACAAAGACCGAGATACTCTATGACAATTTTTCTTCACTTGGGAATCAAACTTGGATCATGCGTGCGACAGCGAAAAGCCTAATTGAGGCGACGTAAAGGCCGATATGGCGTAACGATCAAAAGTGTGTTTTAATTAGAAGAGGAAAAGCTTTGTGCTATGTGTCTAAACAACCAACAAAAAGAGACAGCCGTATAAAGTTATGACACATTGAAGTAGACTGGGTTTTTTTGTCCTTTTTGTTCCCAAAGTATTCTTTAGGACTATATAATCTATTCAGCCAATCCTACGCTTAGTAACATCGCAAGTGGTTGTCGTTAAATGCGATCCAGCATGCGTCTATGAACATCACAGGTGGTTGTCGGTGTATCTGATCCATTAAACGTCTATAAATATCGCGAATGGTTGTTGTCATAGCTACTTCACACTGTTATGGAACACATTCGTCACGGCTTATCATGGAAAACTTCATAGTATCCTCCCCATCATTGTTTCTCTGCTTTCTACTTTAATCCTCTTCCCTGTTGCTCTTCTTCTTGTTCTTCTTCTTGTTCTTCTTCTTGTTTCTCCTTGTTTCTCCTTGTTCTCTTTGTTGTTGTTGTTGTTGTTGTTGTTGTTGATCTTCTTCTTCTTCTTCTTCTTCTTCTTCTTCCTCTTCCTCTTCCTCTTCCTCTTCCTCTTCCTCTTCTTCTTCTTCTTCTTCTTCTTCCTCTTCTTCTTCTTCTTCTTCTTCTTCTTCTTCTTCTTCTTCTTCTTCTTCTTCGATGTCGTCGTCGTCGTCGTCGTCGTCATTCACTTCATCCTCTACCAGCTAGTAATCTTTGAACTATTTCCGCATTAGTGATATAGAGGTGTTTTGCTTATATCCAGTGCGCCTTGCCAACAATCGAATTCATTCGAACTGAGTTGGGGGCCAGTAGGCCAAAGATTTTTCCTTCATGGACGGATAGAAGCTACCATTTTGACACAGTATGATCAATTCTCCAAAAAGGTCTAGCATGAGTGTTTTTCGAGGATTTGATCAAATTGTGCAAACAAGAAATGTCAACATTTGCCTTTCCAGGAAGGAAAATCCTTTCCGGGCTCGATAGTATCAAATGAATAACATTATCAGATGGGCAATGTGTACTGCGAGTTATCAGCAGGGCAGTTGATTGCACAGCATAAGATCCAAAAGTTGCACTTGTTTTTCCTTTTCTCCCAAACGTAATGTGGTCTATTGCTAAAACCAACAGCCTTGATTGTATTTCTAGACGACCTCTGACCTTCTTGGGCATGCGCAGATCAGATCCCAGTTCACTTTTGAATTCTTATATTTTTCGAAAAGCGTATACTTGTGCACTCTGGGTTTACTACATACAGAAATGTGGATGCAGCATAATGTTTGAAAATTTTATGTTTCTTTAAGTAAGCAACTATAAGGCGCTCTTATATACATCTCACTACAACCAAACAATCTTTTTTTCAGGATACGCCTTGGTTTTTTCCGTCTTACACTGGCTTACGAATCTCGGTAACAGAAACGGCGATGGACGCAGTGACGACGGAAGTTCCGACGGTGTGGAAGAGATACGCCAAACAAGCCGATTGTCTAGACGCCCTTCAGAACATTTCCATCAAATCGCCGGGTCCGCGCTGTCCGGCCGACTGGGAGCCTCACACATACATGTGCTGGCCCCCGTCCCCACCAGGTGTCACTGTACGTCTGCCGTGCCCACCGTACGATTATCTGAACCCCGACGAGTTTGTCACTCGTGTGTGTCAAGAGAACGCTACTTGGTACGTCAATGAAACGTTTGACGATAAGCCGTACAGCAACTATTACGACTGTTTCTTACCTCGCCAGGGAAGTGCCGAGGAGAACTTGAGGAAATGGGTCAACGAGAAGACCGTCCTCATTCTAAAAGCTTTGAACGCTCATCGTATTCCTCATCTCACTCTGCACAGCTTTGACCTCTTCCTACTACTAGCGAGCTTGTTGTTGTGTGTCATACTGTTGACCCGCCGAGCGACTCGCCCCACAGACAAATACAAGTTTTTGGTCCTTATCTTGGCAATCATATCTCTCATCGCTAACCATGTGACGGCTATGTCCATACAAGCTTTCTATGATTCCTCCAACATCATCAAATGCCAGATAGCGAAAACAATCGTCTCTTTCACCAACATCGTTTTCTGCCAGTGTCTGCTGGGATATGTCTTTCTCTGCATGTTCATTATTATGGAGTATAAGATAAAACGTAGGTACATAAACGCAGGATTCAGTGTCTCCATCGTACTGGCTCTGGCGTTAGTGTTGTTTGAAGCTTGTTTGGAGATTCTGCAGCACAACAGCCGTTACTGTGGGTTTGGCACGTTACAAACATCCTATCACTGGATCATTACGGCCCCAAAGTTCTTTATAATCGCATGTATTTTCTGCATAGATTCTGTGGCCATCTACGGCATCTACTATCTCGGACAACCACACTTAGTCAAAACGGGGCAGCAGCTCGCTCTGAAGGTGTCCACGGTATGCGTACTGCTGATGTCAGTGTACAACGCCGTGTGTGAAGTCATGCTCGTTTTGCTGCACGCTGTCGCCGCCATGGACCACGTGACCGACTCACTGGAGGTCTACACGCACTCCTACTCTGCCTTGTCGGCCTCTCGTGGGATTGTGTTTGTCACACTCATGTGTTTTCTCGACCCGCAGTCGTTAGCTCTCTTACCTTGCGCCTGTCTACATATGTTCTCTCACCCTGAAGAAGCCCCGCCTGCCAGTCCCCAGCGATTAGTATCGGAGAAAAAGCAGTCGCTTTACCTACAAGAAGAGTACGCTCAACAGGACGATTATGAAGACAATCTCCAAACCATAGAAACAGGAAAACAGCAGAGGTTGTAGCAAGTTTTACAAGACATCAACGAGTGCGGTATTGAAATGTATTATAATGTTCTCTCTTGTATTGCATTTCTAACATTTCGACCATTTACATCTAGACACCACAAGGCATTTGAGCTGAAGACACTCTAGCCTGTCTGTGTCGTAAATAAGAGGCACTCATCACTCGCGAAAGTTCAGGAAAGCCTTTTTTTAAAGAAAATCTTCATAAACGATAGAGACAATCTTCATTGAATAAAGAACATAATTATTACTTTTAAAAGTTGATGAATATCTTGTCCAGACAGAAGGAGTAATTTTTAATTCTATTTAATAATTGAAACAGGTGGATATTTTAGAAAGGTTGTAGTTGAGTAAGATGTGAGAAAATGGACATAGAACATTGTGCATTCGGAAGAAATGAATCCGAAAAGAAATGTAACTACAAAATCGCTTTGCGGATAGAAAATTGTAAAGACGATAATCAGGTGGCTATTTTGAAGTCAATATTGGCTCTTTTATTTAAATCAAAATGAAATAAAGGACTTTGTTAGTTGTTACTATTTCTGGGGTTTACAGATCATACAACGGAATTCTTCATTTCACAGCCTTCTCTCATCAGCAAATCGTGTTCTTTTTCTTAATTCATCTGGTACGGTAGCGTGGAACGTTTCAAGCACCGGGGACTGTTACACAACTAATTCATATTATTCTTCATCAAAGATTTCTTACGATTTTAAGTGGAAGTGTACATAAAAAGGTGGAATAACCCCCAGCACACTCAGGTTTTCATTTTTTTTCCTTTTTGCTATGACCCACAGATTCAAACTGCTATTTCTATTGTTTGATGATCTGTCTATGGTATCCTTGTATTGTCTTTAGGGGCTATGTGATCATAATAAAAGTGGATTGTCTAATTTTTTAAAAATAACTCCTTCCCGCTGGCCAATGTACATACATGATATGATCCATTCCTTAAATTTCTTCTACTCTGTGATAACTAAAGAAAAAAATAATAATCACATGTTTGTTACGGATTTAAACTACTCAGTGTATAAACACATAGAAACACATTCTCGTGGCTCTTGGTGTCTTTCATTATTTTTTTTCTTTCTGGCACAAAGTAACTGCATCTGAATTATTTAGAGTATAGTATTCCGTTTAAGTAGAATTTCCAAACAGTTCTCACCTCATCCCTCCTCTTTAGATTGAACATAAAAGAATATGGTTGTTAATCCAGTTGTTCAGCAAAAAGTTTGTCCCTTTGGAAAGATAAGTCCATCGCAGACTTAAAGCTTTTAGCTTTTGTTTTAGAAGGCAAGATTTTCAATATGAGTGACAGAAAAACAATACAAATGATGATGATGGAGGTAGTGGTGGTGGAGGTGGTGGTGGTGGTGATGATGATGATGATGATGATGATGATGATGATGATGATGATGATGATGATGATCATGATGATGATGATGATGATGATGATGGTGATCATGATGATGATGATGATGATCATGATGATGACATTATAAGACTAGATAAAAACACATGTGTAATGACGATGCACTATGTTATTTAATTGATTTTGTTAGACGAAAAAACAACATCAGAAAAACCAAACTTGGCTGGCCCAAATGTTCCTTTACAAAACATTTTAAAATGTGTTTTAATTGTGAGCCCAGTGGTTGAACTTCAGATGAATTAAAATTGCTTTATCTGATTATTACTTTGCGCCCCTGGCCAGGTTCCCGCTTATTGTTTCTTTGGAAAACTGATTCCAAGTACATTATACAAGTTTAGGTTATTTGAGTTGAGAGTTGGACCGACAACATTGCGGAATGGAAATGTAAATCCTTCGACCAAACTCAGGCACTCGCAAAAAATCTGTGAAAAGTGGAGGCACCTGACGAGGCTTGCAATCATACAGCGCCCCTACGATCCTCGTGGATTATGGGATCAGCAAGCTGTAAGCAGTAACACTTTGCTGTTAAAGAAACCTTTGAGCCACCACGTTCTTTGCCCCACTTACTGGAGGAAGACATGCCCCGGAAGAGGTCACTGTTGTTCCTCTTCATCTTCCTCTTGTCCTCGGGTCGTCCCTTTTCGTGTCGGTGACGGTGACGTTGCAGACACAGAGTTCGCATGTGCTGTCGGAGTAAAGGGTCCAGGCTCTGGTTCGCGATCCACGAGTCAAGGAATTGCTCTGTGGGAGTTGGGGTTGTGCAATTGGGTGTGGGGGGGGGGGGGGGGGTTAGGGCATGATAAGTTTAACATTAGATTTGTTTTGTATTGTTTTGGTATTGTTTTTTTTTGTTTGTTTATTGATTTGTTTGTCTGTTTCTGTGTTTGAGTAAAGAGAAGCACCTCGACACAATAATGGTTATTTAGTGCTATAAAAAGTAATAGAGACAGACAGAAACAACATAAGGAAAGTGAAGAAGTAAGACCTACCAGTGGTACCCTCCAGCTATCAGCAACACTGGGTTAAATTTATTTGGTTTCTTGCCTCCGGTGAAGATGCGTTCGCTAATTACTGAAGGGTTTGTCCAATAGATATAGGCTAATTAAATCGACAATGTTCATAGAATTTGGCCCAGGGCTGGTCTACTTATCCATAATTTCCTGGGCCGTTTGAGCTCTCATATGGTGTTATCAAAGGAATTCTAAGTAATTTACAATAACAAAATTTTCATGTCAAGGAATGTTTCACATTTTCCATGCCCTGTTAGGGTAGGACAGCCTCCTCTTCATAGACTTTCTACTGCTATTAAATGTTCTTCCTCTTGTATCACAAATATTCTGGATCCCGAATGTTTTTGTTTATGTTTTTTGTCGTTATGACAGCAAACTACATGAATAGTCAATTCCACTCCTCGAGGATCAATAATGTAACAAGGAGGAGGAAAACAGAGCTCAAGAAGTTAACTCCCCCACCCCAACCGTACCTGCACAAACCGGGTGTCGGTATTCAAAATTAAACTTGAGATAAAAACACTTTAATGCTAGTCTAACACGCCTCCGTCACCCCATCTCAACCATGATAATAAACAAATAGACAGATAAGACTAAGATTCAAATACAAATAAAATAACAAAAATTGCCAAAAGCATCCAACATGGCCAGAAGAAATCGGCCAACTCACCGACCACTTGCGAGATGGAGTAACACTCCACGTCGGGCAGGAACACGCCCTCCAGCAAGATCTTCCTCAGCTCCATCAGATGGTGCATGGACAGAGAAGCCACGTGAGGCTTGGACCATCTCTTGCCCCCGTCCTCCACTTTCTCCTCGTATTTCACCCACCTAAAAGAAATTACAGATGTTGAGAGTTTCAAACGGGAAAAGGCGGTTCTTAAAACATAAGTAGAACCCTTGAAGGGATAATAAAGCGAGGTTAGTTAGGTTAATAAAGAGGGGGTCTGCGAAGATTTGGGTCCTATGCAAAGTAAAGTAAATTGTGGAAATGAGATGTGAAGTCGTTAAGCTGTCTTCCTAGTGATTTTTCTAGAAGAAAGTTAATAATATCTGCCACCAGTGGATGGGGGTGGGCGTACAGTTAGCTGCACAAGACAGCTGCAATTCTCACTCCATATGTAAATAACCCTTTTATAAAACGTCTCGATTCAAAAGTTGAAAATCTTAAATTCCTCAAATACTGTCTACTTGAGGCAAAGAGACATGATTTAAAGGGATTTAACTTTTAAACATGTTAAACTTCAGCCTTTATTTGTTTGACCGGTCATTTAAAACCTTGCTGTCCACCTCTTTTATGAATAGTCAGCTTCACCACCAAAGAAAAAAAACAAACTCGCCTGACCCGTAGTTTCCAGAGCTTCACGTCCCGACTTTAAAAACTTCCGATACTACAGAAGGAACGACAAACTGAAAACTTCCCACTCTGGGCCATGGTACATGGTTCAAAGATGATATCTAAAGTGCGAAAAATGGGAAATTATGAAGGCCCCTTTTAACACTGTAAGATATTATTAGAGAGGCAGGGTCTCCAAATTTGACGTCCATCTCTGATGGCTCCAGCGAAAGTGCTGTCAGACTGGAAACAACGACATACTATAAGACACAAATTTCTCTTTGTACTATGTTGGCTCCAACAAATTATCTGAAATGTATCGCATGACATTCAAAATGTGAAAAGATAACCCTATGTATTCCAACACAAAGAAAAAATCTTCGATTACTTCCCTTAAATTTTAGCATAACTGTACATTTATGTGGGAAGCCCCCTTAAACGTTCATTTTTCAAACGTTCTTAAGCAGGCTTTTGGGAGAGAATTCCCTCACCCATCCAACGATACCCCAAAGACAGGAGTCTTCACATAATCTAATCATGTATCTAAGTGTGAGCCTGAGAATAAGACTCCCTTTCTTCCACGTTGTTTTATATCTTAGAGTCTGCATGGCTTTGGCAAGTGACTGTCCTTTTTGAACCACTTCGCAATTCGTGTTAATGTTAATTACAAAGTATCCTAAGCAAAAAAATATTTGAGGGAAGTAATGCAGATACCTTAGAAGATTTGAAACTTTTGATCAGGAGGAAGAATGATTTGTAAAAAAAAAACAATATAATAAATGAATGATTTCGAGATCCCTTAATTTTTCCCCCCTACAATAGGAATATAAGCTTTCCCTGTTGCGGGTGTTTTTTGTGCTACTGAAGCAATCAAACATTTGTGAAATTCTCGTTTAACATAAATGTTTCGGACCCTTCAGCACTGACCTGGCCCATTCCCGCCACTCGATCTCCTCCCCTCGCTGGGTGAGGACATCCATCTCCACAAAAAGCTTCCTGGTCCGGTGCTTGGGGTCTTTGACCTGGTTGATGAGGGTCTGCACCTTGTCCGCCGGATCATAGCTGGCGTCCCCGTACGTGTAGAAGCTCTCTTCTGAGAATGGTAATTGTAATGATAATGATAATAATAATAATATTGATAATGATAATAATA